GGCCTGCTGTGTTCATCCAGCTCTACACCGTGTTATCTCAGATTCTCCAGCATCGGCAGTTCCTACTATCTCACTCCTGGTATCATTCTGGTAAATCTCCTTTGCACTCTCTCCAGGGCTTTAATATCCTTCCTTAAATAAGGTGCTCAGAATTGAACAAGAAACTGAACACTCCAAATGTGGTGTGGCCAATGATTTGTAGGGGTGTAGCAGCACTTCCTTGTTTTTATACTCTATGTCGCTATTTATAAACCCAAAGTTCCTTAAGCCTTCTTAACAACTGTTTCAACTTGCCTGGCCACTAATCATGTACATGAGCTTCGAAGTCCCTCTGCTCCCGTACTCCCTTTAGAGTTGTACCACTGAACTGTGTTATCTCTGTGATTCTTCCACCAAAACGCATTCGTTCACAATTCTCTGCATTAAAATTCATTTGCCAGCTGTCTGCCTATTCAGCCAGCTTGTCAATGTTTGTCAAGTCACTATTCTCCCTAGTTTAGCATCATCTGCAATTTTAGAGATTTTGCTGTCAACACCAACCTCCAAATCGTTTATATAATCACAAAAAGCAATATCAGTCCCAACACTGATCCCTGGGCACACCACTTTCAACTTGTCTTCAATCTGAGATATGCCCATCTGTACCTAGGCTCTATTTCCTTTTAGCCAACTTCTAATCCATGCTAACGAGGATCCATTAATCCCAAACATTTCTACTTTGCTAACCACTCTGCCAAACTGTGTCCAATGCTTTTCGAAAGTCCAAATATACAACATCCACAGCACTATACTCAGCCACTGCCTGGGTCACCTTGTCAAAGAACTTAATTAAATCTGTCAGACATGACCTGCCTTGACAATGCCATGTTGGCTATCTAGTATTAACTTATTTTTCTCCAAGGTGTGTATTTACTTTACCCCAAATTAGGGTCTCCATCAGTTTTCCCACTATTGACGTCAAGCTGACAGGTTCGTAGTTTCCTGGATTATTCTTTGTCCCTTTCTTAAACAATGGTGTCACATTGGCAATCCTCCATTCTTCTGGGACTAATCCTGTGTTCAGAGGGGACTGAAAAATTTCTGCCTGCGGCTCCACAATTTGCTCCATTAACTCATTCACCAATCTAGGATGCACCCCATGCAGCCTGCCAACTTCCCTACTTGGAGTGCTGCTTCCCTTTTCAGCACCTTTTCTTTATCTAAGTTCTATTCTGCACAGTTGTTCAACACCCACGTTTTCAACTAGGCCACTGTCACTGTCTTCTAATTTGGTAAAGACAGATGCAAAACATTCACTTAGTACCTCTGCAAAACCCATTGCTTCAATGAGCAGCTTATCTGCTTGTTCCTTACGGGTCCAATTATATCCTTCATTAATTTTTTATACTAATAATATTTTTGAAGAATATTTTACGACTTGTTTCAGTGCAGCCTGCCATTCTTTCCTCATGCTTCCTTATTCCAGATTTAGCCTCCCTCCTCCACCTGATAAACTCTTCCCAATTTCTATACACCCAATTTACCTTCCTTTTAAAATTCTCATGTTTTTCAAACACTGTTTTATCCACCAAAATGCACTTACGATCAATTTGCTCCAGTTCAACTTTTAGATTCCTAAAATCTGCCCTGGGATCTTAATCATTGACTGATTTTTATCATTTTCAAACTTAATATTGAGCTTTATTACGTTACAATAACCTTCTCCCAAATGATGCCCCACTGTGATATTTGCTAATTGGCCTGTCTTATTTCCTAGCACCAGATCCAGCACAGCCCCCTCCCTGGTAGGACTGGAAATGTACAGTTCCAGAAAGTTCTCCTGCACACGTTGCACAAAGTTCTCCCCTTCCGTGCCCTAAATTCTACCTTTTTCCCAGTGTACCTTAGGGTAATTGAAAACACCAACTATGACAACCCTACTTGTCCTGCAGATTTCCGTAATCTGCAAATGCTCTCTTCTACTTTCTGCCCACTATTTGGAGCTCTGTAATAAATATCCAACAAAGTCACAGCTCCCTTCCTGTTTCTCACCTTCAACCATACAGATTCTAATTCTGAACTATATCTCATTCAAGGGCAATGATACTATCTTTGACCAAGAATGTTACAACTCCTCCATTTTACCCACCCCGTTTCTACTAAAAGCCTTATAACCCAGGATGTTAAGTATCCAGACCCATTCTGGCTTGAGCCATGTTTCTGTCAATACTATGAGGTTCTGGGGAAAGGGCAGGAAAATGGACATGAGGAGTGTCAGATCAGCCATGACCCTATTAAATAGCGCAGCAGGCTAAAGGGGCTGAAAGGCCTACTCCTGTTGCTATTTCTTACAGTCAAACGGTACTAACGGATCCAGGCCAAAAGCAAGTGTATGGAGTTGATCACAGGTTTGCTTAGATCTCACTGAATGGCAAAGCAAACCCAAAGAATTAAATTCCTGATTTCCTGATGTGAGAAGAGGCAAGTGTGCTATACTAAACTAGGACAGACGCTTTGGACCGAATGTTTCTAGGAAGTGAATTGTGTACTACATGGTGGTTCAGCTATTACTGGTCGGGATGAAAAATAGCTTCAAAAGCATGCCCCAGATAAGGCGCATCAGCCCATTAATCCCACTCTTACCAGAGAATGTGTGATGACCTCCCGTTATTAATCTCTACAGCTCTGCGTCAAACACATTTCCCAAAAATCTCACTTTTTGTGGGTACTAAACAACTTACTCTTCTTAACAGGTCTACTGCCCCAGTACTAACACTCCCCATCACAAAAGCTTGTCTATTATCCTACAGGGTTGGAAAAAGGGGCATTTTGCTTCAATCTTGAGAGTGTTCTAAATATATTAGAAAGCTCTATCCACATGTTCAAGATGACCTGAAGGAGCTGATTAGGGTAGATGGAGAAACGATAGTCGCCAGTGCGATTGCAGTGCTGGACAAAAGGCCTCAGCTTTAAAAAGCTGAGGTAGGCCTATGCAAGGTTGACGCCCAATGGAAACTTGGACCTCTCTCCCCACAAGGAATCACCGAGGCTAAAGGATCCACTGAATAATTCAAAACCAACAGTGTTCAACTTTTGTCAGCTGAAGTGTATTAAGAGCTATGGATCCAGGGCCAGTAGATGGAGTTATGATACTGCTGAGCCACGGTTCAACTGAATGAAGGAACAAACCTGAGTAGTTAGATGGTCTTCCTCCTGTCTCTATGCAAATAGCAAGCTCACTTCAGTCATACCTATCATCATTCTGAGGACCACAAGAAACAGGAGCAGAAGTAGGCCATTTGGCCCATCGAGTAGGCTCTGCCATTCATCGAGATTGTGGCAGATCTTATAATCTGCAGCTTCATTTTCTTGCCCTCTCTCTATAACCCTCACTTCCCTTAATGTTAAAAATCTGACTATCTCAGCTATGAATATTTTAATGAACCAGCCTTAACAGCCTTCTGCAGGTAAAAAATTCCACAGCCTCCTGACTCACAGAAGAAATTCCTCCTCATCGGTCCTAATTGGGCCACTCTTTACTCTGAGATTATGTCCTCTGGTCCTAGGCTCTCCCACAAGTGGAAATAACTTCTCAGCATCCACCTGAAGTCCCCTAAGAATTTTAAAATGTTTTAATAAGGTTACCTCTCGTTCTGCTAAACTGCAATGCGTACATGCCCAACTAACACAATTTCTCCTCATAAGGCAGTTCCCCCATACTGAGGATCAACCTCGTGAACCTCCTCTGGACTGCGTCTAATACCTTTCCTTAGATAAGCAATTTTCGGTATTCTAGATGTGGTCTAACCAATGCCTTGTATACTTTTAACAAGACTTCCCTATTCCAAACTCAACTGCCTTTTGAGTGAAGGCTATAATGCCATTTTCCTTCCATATTAACCACTAAATTTTATGCATGCTAGCTGTATGCAACTTACGCATGAAGACTCCCATAAATTTAGTAAATAAACAACCAGCATAATTTATCCTTCCAGTATTTGCTCTGTAATGAGACAAGACTTTCTAAAGAGTTACCTCCTTTGCCCAGGCTGGCTTGTCAGCTGGATTCACATTTTTATTGTAATAGTACAACTGTTTCTTTTCCTGGGGTTGTTGCTGCTTTTGCTGCTGTTGCTGTTGCTGCAGTGACATGAGGAATGCATGCTCTTGCTGCAGTTGCCTCTGTAGCCACTCAGACTGCCGCTGCTCCTCCAGCTGTTTCCGTTTGTATTCCTACAACAAATACACAGGGAAACTCGTCAGAACATCAGCCAGCTACTTGGTTGCACATCCAAAAGCAAAACGTAAGAGATGAACAGGAACGCATGAAACCCGAAGCAGAAACAAAAATGCGTGCATAAGTGCAGTGAGCAACAACAGCACGCATGTCCTCAGCCCTAAAGAGCAGCCGGGGTTGCCCTTGTCAGCACCTGCAGCAGTTTGCAGATTGTAATGGTCTGTTACAACGATGCAAAGCCAACAGACGAAGATGCTCCAACTGCAAATTGTTTTAAAACTTATACTTGGAATGTACAATGTTGTTGGCAAGGCTGGCATTCATTGCTCATTGTCAGCAGCCAAGGTGGCAATGGTGATGGAACCTATTTCTTGATCTATCACAGTCCACATTACCATTTTGATTTTAGTTCCTTTAAGATACAAACAAGTGACATCAAAGTGCACTTAAGTGTGGGACAAGAGTTGACAATGTGGTTAGAACTCTACTTTGTTTGAGAGGACAGTCTCACGTAGGCAAAGGTATGGCTGGCTGTTAAACTTTTTTGAAGAGGCATGACTGATACGGATGGGCTTTTAAGGCAATATGAACCATGTAGTTGTTGAATTATCGGTGCTAGACTTTTACTTGGAGTAATTTATTAATACCTTTTAAAAAGCAAACATTTGAATATTTAAACTGCTGTGGTTGGATTCAAACAATTTTTTTTTGGATTACTTATCTAGTAACACAATCAGTAAAACTATGACCAGGTAACACTTTTTGCCAATAGTTGTTTCTATAAACTGTGGGGCCTTATCAAAAGAAAATAAGCTCAACTTTTAACAAGGAGCTTCAGGTTATGCAACAAGGATCCAATACTTCCAGGAGTTGTAACTGTTATCAGAAAACAGGTAGGACAAGCTCCTACACCATATGAATGACTGAGACTCAGAACAGAGATGCCAATCTCCCACCATGAACCTCACACTGTCTTTTCACTTGTCACAATTAAAATGCAAACACCTGCTTCTCCACCACATGCACACTTCTTCAGCTGAACGGGTGGGCAGCCTATTTCTGCCATTCTTATTCTATAAATATCACTAGGCATCAAGGTAGAAAGGCCCAGGCATTCACACCCATGGAATTAACCTGCCTACCAGTGGAAAAAAAATCCAACCTGTGATGCGATGTTACCAGAATCACTGACATTGGGCACTTACTATATGGGAAATCAAAGACAGGGCACCAATATCCTGTCATAACAAATTATAACACCTAGCCACAAAGAATATTTGGTCAGTTGACTAAAGTCTTGGGAATAGAAGTAGGTCTTAAGGAGTATCTTGAAACAGTAAGGGGAGGGGTGGTGGGGTTTGTGGACAGATAGAGAAATATAGCGATGGCATTCCAGAACTTGGGGCCAAGGCAACTGAAAATACAGCTAACAATGGTACAGTGGTTAAAATTCAGGATATGCAAGAAGCCAAATCAGAGGTCGGTGATCTTGTACGTTGTGTTGCTGAGAGGAGGCTGCAGAAATTGAGATGGACAGGGCCATGGAGTGATATGAAAACAAGAATGTGAATTTTAAAATTGAGGTGCTCTTAATCTGGAGCCAAGGGAGGTTATGCTGAGATAACTAAGACACGAATTAGGGTTTCAGCAACAAATGAACTCAGACAGGAGTGAATTCAGGTGACATTACAGAGATGGATATGAATTGTCACATGTGGCTAGGTGGCACAAACGTGATGTTCAACAGTAACTTTCACTGAGTGAATTGCATAAATACTAGAGAGGAGAAAGTTGCACATGCACAGGCGAAGGGCAGGCAAATAGGAACGGATGGCTCTTTCAAGGAGCCAGTTCAAACATAATGGACCTAATGGCCTCCTTCTGTGCAAGATAACACTTGTATACCAGACAGAGACAGAAGCACAATGAGTAGCCATCAAAAACCAATTATGACAGGCAATGGGAAAATGTCATGCTTCCATCTACTTAGTGAAAGACTGTTTATAGCCAACTTATGTTTGCATCACCTGTGAAATATTGTGCTCTGACAACATTCCTGTCAAGCTACAGTACTTGACAGCCCAACTAAATACTCATCTCTGCTGCACACAAAATTGCTGCTGCATTTTGCTATGCAGTAAGTAAGCATTTGTAAAGCACCTTTAACATAATACAATGCTCCAAAGTGCTTCAAAGGAGTGTTGCCAAACAAAACTTGATATTGGGCTACATAAGAAGTGCAATTCCATTTTAAATAGTGTTGAAGAATCGAAGATAAAACCTGAAAGAACTGTGGATGCTGTAAATCAGAAACAAAAACAGAAATTGCTGGAAAAGCTCAGCAGGTCTGACAGCATCTATGGAGAGAAATCAGAGTTAATGTTTCAGGTGCAGTGACCTTTCCTCAGAACAGAGGACCAGGCAGACCTGCTGAGCTTTTCCAGCAATTTCTGTTTTTGTTGTTGAAGAATAGGAGAGACGGGTGGAGGGGCGAAGTAGTTTAGGGAAGGGATGAGAGCTTAGAGCCCAGGGTGGCTGCAGGTACGGTTCCCAATGCAGCTGCAATGAAATTTGAATTGTGCAAGTTGCCAGAACTGGAGGAATGCCAAAATTGGAAAGTTGTAGGCTACAGGAGGCTACAGACAACAGTGGAGGTGGAATGAGGCATGGGAGGGGTTTACAAAGAAAAGTAAGGTTCAGACTCAGGAACTAGCATATCAATTTAATCAGAATCTCTTACCTAATTCACACAGGTTCGATATGAGGTGCAATTGCACAACCTTTTAACAAGATCATTCGAAGAACACAATACAACAGCAGGAAACAGGATTTGACCTCCAAGATTAGTCAGTGAATTTGCAATCTTATCTACATAAAAGTTGTTTGTTTCTCAGCAAGAAATAGCAGGTCAGGTTTGATAAAATACATGTTAACAAATTTTTTGGTCATCAGGTCATCATGTGTATATACTATGAGTAGGAAATTTTTGAAACCAGTTGGTACGTCTAGATATATTGCCAAAATGAAGCAATTCTGATTCTACAGAATTCAAAGCTAAATATTTGTCTATTCACAGGATGAAGTAATTGTCTGGTCTCAATGTTTTCTGTTCTTTAGGGGGACCTGGGCTTCACTGGCCAGGCCAGCATTTATTATGCATTCGTCATTGCTCTTGAAAAGGTAGAGGTGAGCTGCCTTCCAGAACCTCTACAATCCATGTGGTGTCGGTGAACTCACAATGTCGCTAGGGAGGGAGTTTCAGGATTCTGACCTAGCACTACTAACAGAACGGCAAAATGTTTCCAAGTCTTGATGGTGCGCAGCTTGGAGGGAATTTGCAAGTGGTGGCATTACTATGTATCAGTTCCCTGGTCCTCCTAAATGGTAATATTTGTGGGTTTGATAGCTAGTTTTGTTAAATTGTGCTGAAGCGTTAACTTTATGTGGAAAAAACAATGGTCAAAATAAAAGTCAGATAAAAGACAGTAATGACATTTTATAAATAGATATCCTCAACAGATGCTCTCTGTACATGATCCAGCATTTACTGATATGTGCTGATGACAGCCGATGTCTGAATATCAACATTACATCACTGATTAAATAGCAATATACCTGGCAAGGAGGAACTGAGTTACCTAAACCGGACAAACTTCCATTGTGTTTGACCATGGAATAAGGGTGGAGTTGATTCATATCAGAAATGTGGTTAATCCTCTCACAAGATGTGATTGATGAGTTAATGGCAGGCATTTACCTCACAGCAGCAATGGGTTTGACTTTTCTTATTGCCCAGGATTCGTTGAAATTGTTTAGTTTGTGGGCATATAGCCAAGGTACATTTCTTTTATTCCTGGAACAACTACATTACAGTAACATATTTAGAAAAATAGTAGGTAGGAACAGAAAAATCAACAAGTTTGCATCTTTATTTTCTTTTTGTCACTATTTCAGGAGATGTGGGCATTGCTGGCAAATTCTGCCATCAGTAAATCAGTCTATCCCTAGTTGCCTTTAACAGAGTAGCTTGCCAGTCCATTTTGGAGTCGAGTACACTGCTGTGGGCCTGGAGTCACATGTAGGCCCAGACAGGCCAAGTATGGCAGATTTCGTTGTCTGAAGCACATTAGCAAACCAGATCGGTTTTTATAATTGGCAGTGATTATGTGGTCATTGTTAGACCAAGATTTTAATTCCAGATTTGACTGTATTCAAAACGTCACCATCTCCTATGATAGGATTGAAACCGATGCCCACAGAACATCAGCCTGGGGCTCTGTAGTGCTAGCCCATTGACATCATCACCACATCCTGTTTACTCATTTGGCCTGGAGTTTGAAGCTAGAGTTGTTCAAGCACCCATAATACTTGTTCTCCAGATCCTTTTAATGCTTTGCATCCAATTTCAAAATGTACACCACACAAAGTTGGATGTACTGTTTTAGGACTCAGAATAAAGTTAGCACAGCGTACAGTTTGATAAAGCATTCCTCATGTAAATCTTCAGCACTCAAAAGTAGAGGGCAGCAGGGGGATGGGGTCAGGAAACATTGCATTTTTCATCGCAAAACAGCATGCATTGATAGAATTCCAGAAATGGAAGCAGATCAACAATCATACGCATGCTTGATCCAAATTCAATCCAGAGTCAAAGTGAATCCAGTGCCCCATCGAAGCAGCTTTTTTCCTCCCCATCTTCAGAACTATTCTTCACCTGAAGAGAATGCTTCACCTTCTTTAGGTCTTCCAGTGCTGCCCACCCATGCAGTGGAAGAGGGCAGCCCGCAAAAGCAAACTGCTCCCAGATCTCTGTCGCAGATGCCTCACATCCAACAGCATGGAGGAAAGGTGATAACATACCCAAATCTTTTGCCCTCCCTCTGATCCCAACTGCTCCCAACAAACCTACAGACAATTGGAAAATGACGCACACAAAGAGAAACTGCATGCAGGGAATGGGCGCCCTGACCATGCAGCAGAGATTTATCACGCTAAATCTGTTGCAGCATTATGCTGCCACCGAGAGGGCAAATATTCACTTCAGACTCGTTCCAAATCCAGTCCATTTGCACTCCATGCCTTCATGCAAATAGGTTGCTGATTTGGATTTAAACTGAACTAAAAAGAAGAAATAAAAAGTCCAGTGCAAACAGGGTTCATAGCGCACTGGTTATTAGGACAATCTGCAAGAGGCTACACACAAACATACAGAGATACAGGATAGAACACTGAAGGACTGGACTTCTACTGAAATGGAAATGATTCAAAGGGGTCATTCAATATTTATTTTACAAGAGTACGTAAGAGTAATCCTGAGGTGGGCAGTGAAAAGGTAGGGAGGTGAGGTGGGGTGGGAATGGGAGGGTGTTGGGCAGAAAGAATGTCCAAACCTGTATATACCTTGCCAGTTAGCATGTCGACAAAAGGACCTACCAATAAAAAAAATAAAAATCATTCTCAAACACGCAAGAGGACATGACAAGCCCGTTAACTTTCAACTTTTTTTTGCTGGAGTGATCACAACATGGAGGGAGCGAGGGTAGTTGAGGACACTGGAAGCCAAGTTAACACCAGGGTCACTCAGCATTCCACCCAGTTAAAATGGTTACCAATGCCTACACTGGCATGAGCGCGCTCCTCCACACCTTCCAATCCCACCCAAACCCCAAGAACATTTATGGAACAAGAACTCATTTAATCTGTTCTTTTTAATACATTGCATTGAGGTGTACCCAAAGATGCACATTAAACTGGGAAATACTGAGAACATTACAACTCTAGATCTCAATGATCTGAGGTTATGGCCACGGCCGTTATAAATTGGTACTGTATTTTCTGGGGCAGTGGGCTAGGGTAAGGGTTCGGATAGGCTAGAGATAAGGTGTGGAGAGGGGTGGGGCGAGGAGAAAGAGGAGAAAGGAGGAGTCAGAAAGGAAAACACCCTGGTTACTCCTGTGAAAATGTTGCATGACCCCTCTATGGGTTAGGAGCAGACACCTTGGAATGATATGAGCGGATGAGGATTTGCAGCCTGCATCATTTACCAGAAGCAGAGCCTGTTCCTGCAGTAGCTGCTGTTGAAGAATCTCTAACTGCCTCTGCTCCTCCTCTAATTGATGCCTTATGTACTCCTGGAGACAGAGAACGCAAAATGAAGCACAGGTAAAGAAAAAGGAAACAGTCAGAAAAAAAAAATCACAAGTAGCATAACTCCTACCCCCAGATACAAAATAGCCAAGGTTCCTGAAGTAAACTTGAAATGAATACAGGGTGTATGCGTGCATGTGTGTGTGTGGAGCTTAACAGTTTTATTCAAATATTCCTCACCCAGCCCCTTTGAAGAGAAATTGTTTCAAATATTTTTCACACAGCACAGCATACATAATAGTGGACAATGAGGGCACTCAAATGAATTTGCCACACCAAGGACTGAACGATGGAAATGGAGCTCATGGCTCTACATCAAACAAAATCACACTCATTGTCTTAATCCCATGTTTTCCAGCATACAATTAACTGTCAATTATTTGTGCAGAATACAAAAATTGAACTAATTTCTAAAAACTTTGCAATTTCTTAGAATGAGCATAAGACTGGACTAACTAGGTACCTTGATCAAGGGGCCAGCACAGACACAATGGGCTAATCTGTGTGCACTCATACTGCTTGGCACACACTGCTACACCATATTGCCCTTTCACCTGTATCTTGGCCTCAAATTTAACTAGGTTAGCCAAGACTTGCTTCATTGTTAAGAATAAAGCCTTTTGTGTTCAGGGAATGGTTGAGACAAACACTTCTGAGGTTAGGCTGTTGTAAGGTCTTGTGACAAAAGCAAAGGGAACTTGATGCTGCATCAAATTAGAAAATTTGAAACACAAATAGAAAATGCTGAAGAAACCCAGCTGGCCTGGAAGCATCTATAGTGAGAGAGAGGGACTTAAAATTTTGAGTCAGGAGTTGCATTGGACTCAATGTTAACTTATTTTTCTCACCACAGTTGCCACCAGAGCTGCTCGGTTTCTCCAGCATTTTCTACCTGTATTTCAAATTTTCCAATTCTAAAAAATTCCAATATGTATTGACCTATATAATTACAATGCCATAAAATGGTTACACTACAAGGTGGAACGAAAATGCACTTTCAAAACCGCACCTAGACTTTTGGTTTAGTCATGTTTAGCCACCACTGCAATAAGCTTCAAAGCCGTGCAAACGTACACTTACAGAACTATTGGAATGAGTAACCAAGGATTCCTGTGCCACTGGCAGAATTTTTTCGAGGAGAATCAAGTGACAATCATGTGAGGGAGAGAGAAAGACAAATCCTCTGAGCAGGAGGGCAAAGAGCAGTTTGTGTTACTTGCAGCACTTCTAACAAAGACGGGAAATGAGGAAGTGTGTGCAACCAACTGCTGAAGAAGTGCGATGGAGGTTCTCCTTCCTCTCTAGCCTACTTGAGAGTGCAAAAGGCACTAAAGCACAGTTTCAACTCTCCCTTGCTTCTTCAACTGAGTGACCAATTCGCAAGGCTATTCTCCTGATCATGTCCTCTTCCAACACTCTCAGAATTATTGTTTCTACTGGGGAAATTGTTGGATGGTTCGGCGTGAGGACCCTGGCTGAGTAAGCAGTTCCCTTGGCCAGGGGTACAGAGGCTAGCTGCAATGCTGCCCCTGATAAAGGTCAGCACAGCCAAGACAGCCTGCCCGTGGGGCCAACAGGTCCAAGGTGCTTTGCACAAGATGAAAGCCCATCAGCAAGTTTGCAGCACAAGTGCCACACAGGACGTCTTTGCTAACCACAAAAGTAAAAATTTCATCCATTTTGTTTCAGTTTTGCAAGGGTTCATATACCTGTTCTCGCTCAGCCTGTTTCCTCTCCTCTTCTCTGCGTAGCTGCTGCATCTCATCTAGCTGCCTCTGATGCTCTTTCTCTTGCTGTTTGCGTAGTTCTCTTTCTCGGCGTTGTTGCTAAAAAAAAAATTACATCGCAAGTTTTACTTCAACACATTTACCCTGGACAAACCAGCTAACAAATTAAAAGACTTTCTGCGTCAAAGCGGACGAGGGAAATGAACAAAGGGTCAGGAGTTGGGACCGTGGCTCATGTTCATAACTTGTTTCAGTATTTTCAGTCATATCAGCAAAATACACCTGAAGGTGGACTGAGGCTTCAAAAGCCTGTGTTTTCAAATAAACCTGTTGCACTATAACCTGGTGTCGTATGAATTCTGACCATATCAGTGAAAGATAAGCTTAGCCTTTTGTTTCGAAGGTTGTTATCCTCCAAGATCTTTCAACAGTTGTCACATTTCATCTCCTGTAAATGTAATCCATTTGCATTTGCTTCTACACACAGATGGAACGAACATGCATTTATCTCGCGACTTGCGTGAACTTAGGATGCATCTTGCAGCTTTGTTAGAAATGCAACAACATCTCAAAGAAATTGGCCAGGTTTCTGAGGGGTAGCAATCACAGTCAGATTGCCACCTTGTTCCTGCCTCCCAAGGAAAGCATAAGAAATAGGATAAAACAACCAAAGAAAACTTGTGTCAGGTGCCAAAAGCTCAATCTAAGGAAAGCTTAGCTGGTGCACAGATTGTACAGGGGACAGATTCAAAAGGAGATTAGAGAATTAAAGGTTATCAGGGGTAGGTGGGAATGCAGAATTCAGACATAAAAAGAGATCATCTCATAATCTTACTGAATAGTGAATTTTTGTTCCTATTCCTTACATTTGTACCTTTGAAAGCAAAGGGAGGGCATGGAACAAAATAATGGCTATCGAAATTGAGGAAAACACAACAGTGTTAACAAATAAATGTTCTATCAATAGAAACCAAAAAGGTACTTTGTATGTGTGGGCAGTACAACTTGCATTGAACAGTTTGTATTTGCTTTCACAAATGGGAGAGACTCTGCAGTCAAGGATTTTGGAGGACACAGTAGACATGAAGTTTTTGATGCTCTAAGTATACCAAGTGAGGACTAACCTTCAATCTCATCTAATCTTAGCCTGGATCATCCCGCTTTAGGGTTTAGGATTGATTTTATTGTCATGGGTACCGAAATACAGTGAAAAGCTTTATTTATGAGTGATACAGGCAGATCACAGCAAGCATGTACAGATCAAAAAGACTTAAGAGGCGTACAGGTTACATTATTTGAGGCTACAATCCATTCAACAATCTTATAATGACCAGAAAGAAGCTGTTCCTGAACTTGCTTGTGCGCGTATTCAGTCTTCTGTATCTTCTGCCTGACGGATGTGGTTGTAGGAGATCATTACCAGGGTGCAATGGGTCTTTGATGATGTTGGCCGCCTCTGCACAGCAGTGAGCCCTGTAAATGGAGTCCACGGATGGAAGGTTGGCTTCCGTGATGGTCTGGGCTGTGCACACCACCTTCGGCAGTTTCTTACGGTCCTGGGCAGAGCAGTTGCCATACCAGGCCATTGTCCACCCGGACAGTATGCTTTCAACGGTGCATCTGTAGTAGTTAGTGAGGGACCTTATGGACATGCCAAATTTCCTGAGCCACCTGAGGAAGAAGAGGCATTGTTGTACCTTCTTGACTGTCACATCTACGTGGGAAATCCAGGACAGGTCATCGGTTATCGTCACTTTGGGGAACACGATGCTCTTCACCCTCTCACCCTCAGTAATCCCTCCATCACTCCTTGGGGCTGAATCTTACGATTTTTTAAAAATTCACTTATGGGATGAGGGTATCACTGGCTGGGCCAGCATTTATTGCCCATCTCTAACTGACCAGAGGCCAGTTAAGAGTCTTCCACATTGCTGTGGGTCTGGAGTCACATAGAACATAGAACTGTACAGCACAGAAATAGGCCCTTCGGCCACAAAGTGCCTAATATGACACCAAATGAAACTAATCCCTATGCCTGCCATCGGCCTGTATCCCTCCGCCTGCCACCGGCCCTTATCCCTCCATTCCTTGCATATTCATCTGCTTATCTAAAAGTCCCTTAAAGGCCCCTATTCTACCTGCCTCCACCACCATCCTGACAGCACGTTCCCGACTCTGACCTTTTCTGTGTACAAAAAACTTGCCCCTCACGTCTCCTTTGAACTTTCCCCCTCTAACTTTAAACACATGCCCCCTAGGATTAGACATTTCAACTCTTGGGAAAAAGATTCTGACCATCAACCCTTTCCGTGCATCTCATAAGTTTATAGACTTCTATCAAGTCCCCCCTCAGCCTGTGCCACTCAAGAGAAAACAACCCAAGCTTTCCTAGCCTCTCCTTACAGCTCATACCCTCTAATCCAGGCAGCATCCTGGTAAACTTCTTCTGCACCCTCTCCGAATTGTCCACATTTTTCATGTAATGTGTGACTAGAATTAAATGCAATACTCTAAATGTGGCCGAATCAAAGTTTTATAAAGCTGTAACATGACATCCTGACTCCTGTACTCAACTCTCCGACCAATAAAGTCAAGTATGCCATACGCCTTCATTACCACCCTATCTACTTGCATCAGAGATAGTAGGAACTGCAGATGCTGGAAAATCTGAGATAACAATGTGTAGAGCTGGATGAACACAGCAGGCCAAGCAGCATCATAGGTGATGAAGGGTCTAGGCCCGAAACGTCAGCCTTCCTGCTCCTGTGATGCTGCTTGGCCTGCTGTGTTCATCCAGCTCTACACCTTGTTATCTCTATCTACTTGCATAGCCACTTTCAGGGAACTATGGACTTGAAGCCCAAGATCTTTCTGTACATTAATACTGTTCAAAGTCCTGCCATTAACTGTATATTTCCTTAGCATTGGACCTCCCAAAATGCAGCACCTCACACTAACCTGGATTCAACTCCATCTGCCATTTCTCTGCCCATATCTGCAATTGATCTATATCCTGCTGTATCCTTTGACAACCTTCTACACAATCCACACTCCACCAATCTTTGCATCATCTGCAAACTTACTAACACACCCAAATCATTTATATACATCACAAACAGCAGAGGTCCCAGTACAGATCCCTGCGGAACACCACTAGTCATGGATCTCCTGAAACTCACCCTTCCACCACTACCCTCTGTCTTCTATGGGTAAGCTAATTCTGAATCCATGCAGCCAAGTCACTGTTGATCTCTTGCATCTTAATCTTCTGATAAGCCTACTTTGAGGGACGCTGTTAGAAGCCTTACTAAAATCCATGTAAACAACATCCACTGCTCTACCCACATCAATCACCTTTGTCACCTCCTCGAAAAATTCAGTCAAGTTAGTAAGATGTCACCTGCCCTGCACAAAGCCAAGCCGACTGTCCCCAATTAGGCCATGTTTTTCCAAATGTGTGTAAATTCTATCCCTAAGAATTCTCTCCAATAGCTCCCCAACCACCAAATTGAGACGTACTGGACTGTGGTTTCCTGGATTGTCCCTATTTCCCTTTCAAACAAGGAACAACATTAGCTACTCACTAGTCCTCCAGGACCTCTCCAATGCCTAGCGAGGATACAAAGGTCTTGGTCAAGGCCCCAGCAAGCTCCTTTCTTGCCTCTCTCAATAACCTGGGGTATATTCCATCAGGCCCTGGCGACATATCCACCTTAATGCTCTTCAAGAGATCCAACACCACTTCTTTCCTGATCAGAAAACGCCCCAGCATATTTGTATGCTCCACACAAATCTCACTATCCTCCATATCCTTTTCCTGGATGAATACCAATGCAAAGCACTCATTTAGGATCTCACCCACATTCTCTGCTTCCAAGCACAATTTCCCTCTTTTATCCTTGAGCAGTCCTACCTTCTCTCTAGTTATCCTCTTGTTTTTAATGTATCAATAGAATAACTTGGGATTCTCTTTATCTACTGGCCAAGGTCATTTCATGGCCCCTTCTTGCTCTCCTAATTCCCTGCTTGTGTACTTTCCTGCTTCATTTATATTCCTCACGACCCCTGTCCAATTTTAGCTTTCTAAATCTTATGTATGCTTCTTTTTAACTCTTGACTAAATTCACAACGTCCCTTGTTATCCAACGGTCCCTTACCTTGCCATCTTTGTCCTTCCTCCTTACTGGAACATGCTGGTCTTGAACTCTCCCCAGCAGGTTGTTAAACAGTTCCCAAATGTCAAATGTGGACTTGCCTGATAACAGCTCCTCCCAATTAACACTCCCTAGCTCCTACCTAATACTGACGTAATTTGCCATGTAGGCCAGACAAGGTAAAGATGACAGATTTCATTCCCTAAAAGGACATCGGTGAACCAGATGGGTTTTACCTGACAATTGACAGTGGTTTCACGGCCATTGTTAGACTCTTAGTTCCAGATGGGCATCTGCCATGGCGGGATTTGAACCCAGGTCCCCAAATTGTGAGCTGAATTTCTGGATAGTGATTATACAACTAGACAACCACCTCCCCCTTTAAGTGTCAATTTTGTTGAGTTTCATAGAAGGTTTCTCTCTGAAAGGTCTAAGGAGCTTTTTCACACAATCACCCCAAATTTACTTTAACACAGCTCAAAATCTCTTAAAATCAAGACAAAGTACACCTCTTAAAGCCATACTACTGTCACACATTAATAAAAAGCTGCCTTTGAAGGTTAGTCCTTCTTACCATGCCCCGTATGGCACTCCTTTCAGCAGAAGCTAGCTGGATTTCACCAATTCATCACACTCAAAGAACTCATCACCAGAATATCATGAAAAAAATCATAGGATTGTAGAATCTCTACAGTGTGAAAACAGGCCATTCGGCCCAACAAGTCCACACTGACTCTTGGGGCATCCCACCCAGACCCATTCCCCTATGACCCACCTAATCTACACATCCCTGAACACTATGGGCAATTTAGCGTGGCCAATCCACCTAACCAGCACATCTTTGGACTGTGGGAAGAAACCGGAGCACCCGGAGGAAACCCACGCAGACACAGGGAGAATGTGCAAACTCCACACAGACAGTCGCCCGAGGGTGGAATCGAACCC